TTACATAGAGTTCCACAGCATAAAAGCCAGATCTAGGTAGTTTACATTTTAGTCTTGGATTTAAAAAAAAGATAAGAGGATGAATACCTTCTGAACGAATAAAATGAACAGTAGGCATGTAATGGGCACTTGGTATCCACATAGGCCACTGATCTATTTAAAATGTTCAATCTCTTCCAATGACCAACAGCTACACTCTCTCTAAAGATTATTTTCTTTAAGAAACACAAGGTGTGAGACAATAAGAGTTGAGTTGAGATGATCTGAGGACTATTTTAGGGTTTGAAATTTCAAAGGACTTGTTTACCAGTGTCTTGGAAAGAACTTGGTTGGTGCAATTAATTTTGTTTTGTATAGTCATTGTCTCAAGTATCATTTGTAGAACCAAAGGCAGGAAAAAAAACGTTTGTTTGCTTGCCTAAGAATACTTAATCTGTTGATCTTCCCTTCATGCATTTTAAGTCTTAGGATCTTGAGAAAATAAAGTATCGATTTGTTTTTGTGACACCAGTTCCTCATATGAAGAATGAGCGATTTGGACTGAACTCCATTCCAGCTCTAAAATTCACTTGTGTTTGAAGACGCTGTGTACATGTATGGAAAGGAATACTATTCGTGTTGTTCCTACCACCATTATGTGTTGATGACTCCCTTGTATCTTTGAAACTGTAGCAAGCAGAGACTGAGAACTTCAGTAGACAAAGACATTGGCTTGTATCATCAGTAGAAAACAAATATGAAAAGCACATCTTTGGTTAATATGAGTCAATGGCTTTCTCCTAGACTCTTATTTTCTTCAGCTAAAATAGAATTTCTCTGTGGATTTTTTAATATTGCTTCAACATTTAAAGACTCCATAATATTTCCTTTTATTTCCCCAAGTGAGAAAAAAATTTAATCCAGGCATGAGATCATGAGTGAAAATTTTTCTCAATACCCTGAAATAGTCTGTCTTAGACAGTTTTGGTCATCACCAAAGAAAATGTTCAAGGACACATTTGGATGCCCCTCCAGGGCATGGATGGAAAAGCACACACAGCTCACCTCACCCAGTGAGATGCTTGCAAGAAAGGCAGAGAAATGAAGTTTGTCTTACTGGATCCACAAGGATCATTCTCCAAATCTTTAGATGGCTATTTTAAATATGTTAAAGACTATTTCTAAAGAAAGCATCTAATTTTTTTCTTTTCAGTTATTCAGAAAAAAATGTTTAAAGTTTATATTTGACAATTAAGCCTCAATTTAGGACAAATTTTGAAAGTGTGATATAGAAAAACCATTTTATTTTTAGGTTATGGAAGTGAAATATATATATTACCCTCAAGTTCAAGATGAAAAAATGCCCCCAAATTCCTCTTAGGAGAAAGGGATGATATAGTCCCTAGCCATAAAGCTTGAAGACCTCCCCCTTCTAGTTTCTTTCTTGGATAGGTCAATAGCTCTGAAAGCTTCTATAAAAACCCACAGACACCACAAAGAAGTAGCATCTGGAAGAAAAAGTTAAGTAAGAAAAAAATAAAAAAAAGAATAAATGCAATTTAAATAAGACACCAGAGGAGCACAATAGAATTTTTAGGCCTTTAGTTAGGAGCAACTCTCCTGGGGAAGGAGGACAAGGGCAGAGGCTCCAAGCGCTGGGTGCTGCCTGCCTTAATCCTGTCTCAAGTGATTGCTCACATCTGGGGAGGAGGGAACACCCTGCCAATCTATCAGTCAGAATTTAGCACCAACTGCAAAAGGATGCAGAGGACACTTGACTAACAACAGGTGCAAGAGAGTCTGGAAGGTGATCCAGAACAGTCTTAGGATTAATTATCTTGTGGTCTGCTACCCCTAGATTCCCAGAGAGGCTTGTGGAAGGTCCACCTGCCCAAAAGACTCGGCTTCAGAGGTGACCTCTGAATAGGGAGGTAGGATGACCCCGGTGTTATAAAAGGGAACCACTCAAGGCCTCTTTCCCAATTTGCCTACTTGCCCTGGCAGTGGAGGCTGGTTCACTGTCTATTTTTTTTCCTCAATAAACTTTGTTTCATGCTTGCCTTACTTGAGGGTGTCTGGTCATTTTTTGACCAAGAGCACTCCAAGAACTGAGGACCCTGGCAGCCGCCTGAAACCCTGACATTTTAGAACATAGGCAGCTGCTTTGAAAACCAACAGAATGGAATCAGACAGTTAGAATTATGTCTGAGGAAGGAGCATATTCAGATAAATATTCCTATTACAAATTTTAGGGAGAAATTTTTAAATTTCTAACAAAGCAAAGTAGGAACTAAAACCTAATTCAGAAGGCAAGACGATGACAAAGTGAGATGGTAGAGTTTTATTTTCAGAATACTAGTTTATAAATAGGTCTGTTTTTAAAAAGAGTTTTGCAATTATTTTCATGGGATAAGGTATCAGCAATCATTTGGGGGAAGGAGAAATGGGCACGAAATATTTTGCTTATATCTAGATGCAGACAAGATGTCTTTCCTGATAATGTGCCTCCAATCTTGCAAGAGAATACATTGTTTTACAAGGACTTATAAAAATAATTAGACTTAACCTCAGGCCTGTTTCATATGATATACTGACTATGTTTACTTTTTAATTAAATTTTCTTATTTCAAGATGTTAATATGGAGACATTTTTTTCTTTAACGAGGCAAATAGTCTATGAAAGATAAAACACACATGTTTACTAACACTATTTATAGTCCCTGATATGATATAACAGATATTTAAGAAAAAATGTTGGTCTGCAGTGGCAAAAGAAAAAATATTTGTCAAGCACTTTTCATAAGAACAAAATGCTTTTCTCATTGTATACTTCTTCCTTCCCTTTTTCCTTTCTTTTTTTCATAGCTTAAATGTTCATAACTTTCTGTTTAAAGTAATCTGATGGTCATTTCTCCCATAAAAGCTCTTCTCACACTTTTGTTTTTCACATTTCTTAACTTACTTTTATCATACTTTTACAGTTACAGTGATCAAGTTTCCCTTAAAAGCACTTGAAGTGCTTTGCTGAATTCATTCAGTACTCCTCTTGCTTAAAATGGATGCCTTTTCCTTATGTTGAAATCTATTTTAGCAACAGATAACCTTGAAGACAGGTCATTTTGATGACATATTAAACTCATGCTTATACTTAATGTTGAAATAAAGCTAAAATCTTATTATCCCATTGCACATATCCTGTTTGGCAGAACAGTTAAAGCATATGCAATGTTTCATTGTTTATTTCCCACATCGTGTTTAGAATGGGGTAGATGTGTTAATTTGGATTGTGTTTCATCGTTCTGAACACATTCTCCACAAAAGAATGTTCGAGCATAAAAAGACTTCTTTTTCTTAGAATGACAAACTTCAAAATGCTTTGCTGGATACAAAGAGGATACAGAGGCTAGTTGGCCTAAATGTGAACAGATACAAAATATCTCCAGTGACTGTCTCGAAATCTCATATTCAGCTCCTACCCAAAGTGAAAAATAAATATCTTTTCCGAAAATAATAATTGTTATAAAGTTATTGTATCCTAGTTTTCTGATCGTTCAAGTTATTGCTACATTCAGCAATACATGATAAGTGGTTTAGAAATCCAACAGCTATGTTAAGGTTTATTTTTTTCTGGCCAGTAAAGGTATTTACCAATTATAAAATCTTTATCTGTAAAAAGACCATATATATACTGCATGGGTTTCCTGATAGTGTTGTTCAGGCCAACTCATATTTCCAATGAATACTGAAGATTTGTATTACAATTGCAGAGAAATAATGGAATAAAACAAAATGGTACTCTGTTTAGATGGCAAACGATTTTAATTTTGTAAAAAAAAGACTTAAATCCACTGAATAATGGTTAGGTTTCACAAAAGCAAATACAGTTTTTAATGTGATGTATGTTGCTATTTAGTTCTGAATAAAAAGTACAACGTAGATTTCAAACCTTCACCAAGTAGATTTGTTCCACATTCTAAAACTTACTGTGAATTTTTTGTGCCTAAAATAATATTCCTTACTCATAAAATCCTAAGAAACATTACATAATTATTGTGTTATTCTAAGGAAAAGCAAATCTACTAAACAAAAACATCATGTAATGAAGACCTTAATGATATTTAAAACCCCTCCTCTTCTCCAAAATACACGTCAGATGAAGGAAAGGAAGGCAGGAGATTATATAATTTTAAAATAATCATAAAAGTAAACATAGTATGGTGGGCTTTTATTTCCAGAAAATTCTCAGTATGCGACTTTCTGTACTTTCCGTCTTCCCAGGTTGCCAGCTGGAGGGAGATGGTGAGCGAGCAGCTTCTCTTCCTCTGGCCGCCGTGCAGCGATAAATTCTTGTGAAATAATAGCATGTGATCCTTCTAGTTAGAACAGCTAATAGCTGGTTAGGCAGCCTTTCCCTCAGACGCCTTCCAGTGAGCCGCCAGGCGTCTCTCCGCGCGTCGGGTCCTCCCCTCGCCGTCCGTGATGCGGGGGTCGCCCCTGCCTTCTCCCTCCCGGCCCCCAGCGAGCGCCGCAGTCGCCTGACTGTATCGTCCTCCTAAGCAGAGAGCGATTTGATCCACTGAGGCCAGAAAGACCCAACCCATGGGGGAAAAAAGCAAACTGGGAAAGCATAGCTGTCACTGCTCTCCGGAAAAGAAAGCTAGACGGAGCCGCCGAGCCCCGCGCCTCCCGCGGGCCGCCCGGCCCGAGCTCGCAGCAGGTGCGCAGCTGCCTGGCGCGCACAGGGTTAAAGGCATCATCGCAGCCATTAGAGGGAAAAGTTGCGGCGCGGCAGCGGCAAAGTCCCGGCGCCCGCCCCTTGCCCACTCCCCACTTCCCCAGCGGCTCGGCGTTCGGGTAGGGCAGTGATCACGCAAGCCGGAGCGGAGGGCTGACGCTGGACGAGCTGCCAGGTAGCTGCGAGCAGGCGGCCCGGCGGAGACGCGGCGTCGTAGGGATCCTGGGTCTGGACTGGAAGCCGCGCTGAACCTGAGCCAGCTGGTCTAACCTCCGCGAATCGCAACCCCTCTCCCTACAGCCAGTCCTTGCCCGGCCAGCAGCAGGATGTGTGCAGTGTCGGTGTCGGTGTCGTGTCCAAGGCACTGAGACAGAGCCTTCTGATACGCTTGCATTCTTTTCTTTTAGGGGTTTTTGGCTGTTGGATACATTGATGTGACCCCCTCCCTTTACTGGAATGATGGGGATCTTTTTGGCATATGTCGGATTTGTTTTCTTTTCCGCGTTATATGTACAACAAGGGCTTTCTTCTCAAGGTAAGTCTGTGTTCAACGGCAAGCATGCATTTGCTCGCGGGGTATGCGTGTGTGCGTGTGTGTGATCCCTACATTCAAAGAATGGACAGTCAGATGTAATAAGGTTCCTAGCAAGTACTAGTGGGTTTAGATTGTTGAACGGTGCTCTGTTTGGCATTTTTCTTTAAAGTTTATTGAACTGTTAGCATGCTAGGTTTGAGAGAAAATCTAGTTGGTGCCTGACAATGAGGTGGGCTCCTCGGTGAGCACAGACACAGGGGGGTGTGTGTGTGCGCTTTCTATCTGCGTGCACGCACCGGGTGACCACTCATGCATACATAATCATCACAAACAAACAGAACTGGATGTGGGGGCCTTTTCCTTGCCAGTTCTCTTCCCTCCTGTGGACAGACTGGGTGTAGTTTCTCTTTTCTGGGTCCGTGTATGACTTCATTTGTATGTGTGCTTATCAAAGGACAGACTCCTCTGAGGACCCATAAAAAGGCACGACTTGCATTACAAGCAGCAGCAGCCTGCCGAATCCAATTGTTCAGGGTTCGCAGGCTGCAGTGGTCGTTTCAGCACCATGAACAGATCACATCTCTGCTGCCAAAAGACTGCATCACTTTTGCAAGCAGAAATGCCCTCCTCTTCCTTCCAGCATGAACAGAAAATTCCTTCTCCTTCTCAGACCCCAATGCTTTCTGCATAGCTTCACTTTCCTTTAAATATTAATGCCAATTCATTTCACTAGAGATCATTTTGGGATTTCATAAAATTTTGAAAAGAGACATTGATGAAGCCCCTCTTTTAAAAGGGGGGGGGCAGTGCACCCACCCTAAATCAGTCGTGCAGTCTCCACAATCTTCCTTTCTTTAAGTATGCATTGTGATTGGGCACTCTCATCAGCCACAGATTTTTCCAGGACTACTTTTACAGGGCTATCAGCTGTTTGCAAAGTGCCCATTAGACAAGATCAGGACAACCATGTTGTTGACAAGATAAGAGCACTCCACATTCAAGAAATGCCACGCGAAGAAAAGAAACATTTCAGTTTTCTGAGTTTTGCCATGGCCCCATGAATCTTGCAAACTAGCATTTGCAAGGTTGGTGATGAAAATTGGTAGGGGGAATTTCAATTGATACTTAAAAATAATTTTCCGTCTGAACAAGCCTGGATCATTACATCTCAAGCTGTAGGGCAATTTACAATACAATGACTTGATGAGAACAAATAAAGGTTAATTTGGAGAGAAAGAAATATACACAGCTTACAAAGTGTGCAACTTGTTTCACTGTTGTAGGCTTGTGTCCCTGCTGTTGCCAATAACTATTGTGATCTATCAGGAATGTGCATTGTGGCAGATAATCATGATCCATTCGGTTATATGAAACATCTAGTTAGTCACAGATTGTTCAGAAACTTAGAGGCAAGATGCTCTCCTCATGTATCAACTTGACAGATTCTCTAAATTGTACCTCCCTGCATTTCTCGGTAAGTTTTGTAGAATACTGCAGTCTGACGAAAGGTATTTAGCTCCAACTGTCGGCAGCTTGGCTAACAGGGAGAGTTATTGGCAGGCTTGTTAACCTTTCCATGATCCGGACTTGATCAACAACAGCGTGATTTAGGAAAGATACCAAAACAAAGGAGAGAGGCAAAAAGGGGACTTGGGGATCAAGCCAAAGTCAGGAATGTCACTGACGGAGGAGTTTGGGTGCTGGGTTTTTATTTTGTTTGTTTGTTTTTTTAAGTCCAAGAAAAATTTAGTAAGCTCTCAAGGAAAGAGATGGTGGAAGGAGCCATGGAGTGTGTTTTCCAAAAGAATGCGTTTCTGTTTTGCAGCAAAATTTACCGAGTTTCCACGGAACGTGACAGCGACTGAAGGGCAGAATGTGGAGATGTCCTGCGCTTTCCAGAGTGGCTCCGCCTCGGTATATCTGGAAATCCAGTGGTGGTTCCTGCGAGCACCAGAGGACGTTGAGCCGGGGACCGAAGTGGCCGGCGCGCAGGTAGCTAAGCCGCAGAGCCCGCAAGGTTCCCTGCATCTCTGCCCTTCTCTCGCCTAGTCCTCTGAGTGTCCAGCCAGGGCCTAGGGCCAGGGATGGCGCCTGAGCTCCTTGGGGGCGTGCGCACCTCCTCTGGGGTGAGCGACCCCCAGGGATACTGGAATTTGTCCAGGTGATGCTAAGTTAAACCCAAAGAGGAAATCACGATGTTACGTCTTTTCCGGTTAAAATTGAGAATAACCTCCTCCTCTGAATATTGCTTTTTTTATTAAGATGTCCTTGGTGGCACTACAGTGTTGACATATCCCAGGACAGTCGCTGTCCCCTTTCCCGGGTCCTGGAGTGCGGAGGAGGGACCGCTTGGAACCCTGTGGGAGGTCTCCAGGTCCCACCCCGCCACCGCCCCACGTCCCAGTTCGGATCTAAGCCTTTAACAGAAGGGGGAAGGGGACGAAGTATGGAAGAGAGGAGGGAAGGAAGGAGAAGAGGAAAGGGAAAGGAAGACAGGAGGGAAGGACAGAGAGGTGGAAGGGAAGGGAAGAGAGCGGAGAGAAGGCAGCAGGTACTCGGCCAAGGAGATTGAGAAGGCTAAAGGGAGGAAGGGGAGAAAAGAGGGAAGAGGGAAGCAGAGTAACGGAGAAGGGAGAGAGCTTAGCAAAGGGGTGGCGAGCGAGGCTGAGAGCAGAGGAAAGTCTGCAGACTCGACCCCGAGGCCACGCAGTGACTGCCCGGGAAAACTGTCCCCACGTTCGCGTCGGCGTCCACACCCGCTTTAGTCCTGCTAGCCGAGGCACGCGGGTCACGCGGGTGCAGCCTGAGCGGGGCGAAGGGGGAGGGGCTACGGGGCAGAGGTGGGGCGGGTTTTGCCCGCGCGCCCCCTTCCCTCGGCTGGGCCGCGCGCAGGCGCGGGCACGCGGAACGCGCGGTTGAGCGAGTGCGTCCTTGTCCCGCAGGTGGAGCTCTTACCCGACCGCGACAGGGACCCGGACAGCGACGGCACCAAGATCAGCGTGAGTGTCCCCGCGCGGGCGGGGGTCGCGCAGGCCCAACAGAGCCCCGCTATTCCCTGTCTCGGGAAAAGTCGACTTTGCAAAGGCAGGATGAGCGCCAGTTGATTCTTACCTCATTCGGTACATAAAAATTGAAGCAAATTTAGAGTCCATAAGTAAAATTACACATTTTAACCACGTCAACATCTAAACAATTAACTAGAGAATCATTTTGTTCTAAAAAGAGTTTGTGTGACACTTTTCATTCATGCACTTTTAGCAGTTACATGAAGCTCTGCAATGTTAATATAAATTATGGAAATAGTTCTCCATTACTAGGAAGTAAAACGCTAATGTAGGAAAAATATTCAGCATCCAACAAGATGTTGAAATTGTAAAGAAATAAAAACTCAGTTTTGCATGTCATTTATAATGTTCACAATGTCCAATATTTCCAATTCTGGTGTTCAAAATCATATAAATATAAAACCAAAAACTTATATAAAATATAAAACCATTATTGGAGGAGGTTGACCTATTGAAAAAACAAACTTGTACTTCTCTATTACTTTTAATAATTGTATAGAAAATGAAAATATTTTTTGCTCTATCTTAAATGAAGCCACAAGCCTTGTAAAATCACCAAATATTAATAATATTGCTTGACTTGATAAATAAAAAACAAGTTTTTCATTACTGAAATGAAATAGTTATATGATTAAAAAGAAGGAAATTGTCTTAATATAAATTTATTATTATTATTTGTTTCTAGAAATATAAAAACCCAATGACATTTTAAAAGGAAATTAATTTGAGGGTTTGCACAACCATAAAACAGTACAAAATTAAGGTTACATCATAATTAAAAGTATCAGTACATTGAATACAGAATCAAATCTGTGACCTAAATGTGTGATCTCAACATGGAAGAAATAGAAAATGAAGAAAATATATAAACATGAGACTCCAATTTATAACTCATAAAGTACACTGACTTTTTATGAATATTTAATTTCAATTATTCTTGTATCACAGAAACTTGTGTCCAGACAATGTTAGAAAAGACTTCTTGATAAAATTGATGAATAGTGCTTTCCTCTAGTATTTCATTTCCACATACACACGCTGGTTGACCCTTCATCTGTCACTATTTCCCATCCTCGTGTTATCTAAAGACCAGCAACAACAGCCCTGCACATCCTGACCTAGAAATTCACAACTGTTACCAGTACTGTCTATTACCTGTACCTAACAGTCATAAAATCTAGTGAGTTGAAAAGAGTTTTAATACCTACAGATGCAAAGGGAAGTTGGTCCCCAGTTTAGCCAAAGTGTGGCCTCGAACATACATTCTAAACCAGTAATTATTAACTTAAATTTTCTAGAACAGCTTTTTTTTTTTAGAGACAGAGTCTCACTTTGTTGCCCTCGATAGAGTGCAATGGCATCACAGCTCACAGCAACCTCCAGCTCTTGGGCTTAGGTGATTCTCTTACCTCAGCCTCCCAAGTAGCTGGGACCACAGGCACCCGCCACAATGCCTGGTTATTTTTTTGTTGCAATTTGGCCAGGGACAGATTTGAACCTGCCACCCTTAGTATGTGGGGCCGGTGCCCTACTCACTGAGCCACAGGCACTGCCCTCCAGAACAGCTTTTATAAAATACTGACATAAGCTCAACCCACTGGATGCAGACTTAATGTTTCTGCATTAATCAGGGTGAGAGTGTAATTTTTACTAGCTCCCCAGATGATTCTAATGTACAGTGTTGATAATCACTGACCCAAACTCCCCCAAACCTCAGTTTACTCAACCATAAAATGAGATAATAATTATAAATAATAATAATAACAAATGTTCTGACTACCTCAAACTTTATTAGGAGATTTAACCTAAAATATATGTGAAACTATTGATTTCCATTATTTTGTAGTATCAATATATTTATACATAATTTTGCATATAGATAAAAACATACTATAATGGTTCAAATGTTGGGAGTCTTTGGTATATATAGCAGTCACTATATATAAAACACAGATGGATACTTCTCAGGTTTTCTTAATTAGTTATGGCTATTTTAAAGTGCAATGGCCACTAGCAGAGCAGAATAAGTAAATTTCTGCCTCCTTTATTTTTCTTTCTCTTTCGAAGTCAGTCAAATCCTAAATCCCAAATGTCTTATGCAAACATTCATTCTGTCCATCATGCTATTAACCTGGCATAAAAATTAATTAAACAAAAATAAGAAAACCAATATCAGTTTTGAAAATCAAACCTGTGTTTTCTTGTTAGCATCCCAAGTTCCTGTAGCATGAAATCCCTCTCCTGTCTGGGAGTATACTCACTCCTGTCTGGGAGTGAGACTTCAGGGACCAATCTGTACCCCGAGTTGGGCCACCCTACAACTGTGGGGTAGACTGCCTCAAAAAATTGAGCAGAAAAATATTTAATATACAGCTATTTTAACAGTGTCTTCAGTAGTCATCCCACCATGAGGATAAAAGTGCACTCAACACTCAAACTGTTGGGATCAACAAAATGTCTTTGTGATTTCTCAGAAAGTTGGGGAAATGTGTGTATAGCCCAGAGAGAAGATGCCATGCTGGAAGCCCCTAGAGGTGGCCTCCTTGGCTGGTGCTGTGTTCAGCTAGGTTAACCAGACGGAGATCAATCCCATGATGAGAGATGGGAGCTGCTACTAGAACGCAGGGCTGCATGGAATTGTCCCCTGAGTCCGTGAGTCCAGTCGATAGGAAAACAAGAGAAGTCAGACCTTCAGATTCGACATCAAGGAAACAAAAGCTCCTTGGCTGTGGCTATGCGGCCATTCAGACCCTTTAATTTCCCAGCACTAGTGGGCTCAGGGTAAAGAATGGGAGCAAAATCATTTGATGCAGCTCTTTGTTTTTTTACCCGCAATTTTTCAGACAGTGAAAGTCCAAGGAAATGACATCTCCCACAAGCTTCAGATTTCCAAAGTGAGGAAAAAGGATGAAGGCCTATATGAGTGCAGGGTGACCGATGCCAATTACGGGGAGCTTCAGGAACACAAGGCCCAGGCCTACCTGAAGGTCAACGCCCACAGCCACGCCCGCAGGATGCAGGCCTTTGAGGCCTCACCCATGTGGCTGCAAGATGCAAAACCTCGCAGGAACGTGTCTGCTGCGGCCCCTGGCAGCATCCACAGCCCCGCCAACCACCGCGCGCACTCCACCTCCAGTCCGCACGCCATAGCCAAAATCCCCAAACAAAGTCCGCAATCAGGTATGAAACCCGTTTTGAGCCTTTCATTTTACTACTCAGAAACCCTCCACAGAAAGGTCAAAAACTGTAGGCAGATTTATACATGCTGGTTTTTACTACTGGAGAGCAGTTCGCTGGTAACAGTTGTGAGACGTGTGGCACCGGGAGTTGAGCTGACTAGCTCAAAAGGACGTGAGTCCGGCCGGCTGGGCACCGGAGGGGCTTCCTGTCCAGGGACTTTCTTTTTTTTTTTTCTAAGAACAACAAATCATGTACTTTCGGTTACATTACAAATGGATGTTCATTTTCTCTATAGATTTATGTACTGATAATGACCCCAAATTAAGAGGCTTTCACTTAATCAAAATGTAAATAAAAGAGACACGCCATGCCCTATACAGTCAGTGGCCTATAGCTGGAAGGAAGCAGGGCTATTCGCTGAGGGCTGTGGTCCTTAGGAGGAACCTCAGCTTCCTGTGTGACAGTGATGATAATGGGACAGGCTCGGCGAGGCAAGGAGAGAAACAGGCTGCTCCCCACAGCGGACTCCATGCCAGTCCAGACGCTTAGGTGCGTGCTTGGTAAGGCAGCTGTGCAAGTTAAAGCTGTTTTGTTTTTTTTTCACTTAATTTTTATTAAATCATAACTGAATACATTTATGGGGTACAATGTGATGATTTGACATACAATGTTATCAAATGCTTAAACTAACTAACAAACCATCACCTCACTCATTTTTTGTGGAGAGGAGGGTGAGCGGAGGGAGGATATTTGGTGGGATCTCACCTAATGTGCACAACGCAAAGGTACACTTCAAAACTACAAGAGTGTATTATAAAAGTCTTAAAGCTGTTTTAACGGCATTGTTTATGCAATCATTCAGTCAGGGAAGCTTATGTAAGTTCTAACCTTGATTGGGTGTAGAGACTTCTTGGAATGAGCAGTACCCTACGCACACCCCCGCAGCTGCCTGGATTTTCTCAAATACTTGACATGATACTATAAGATGAAGGGAGCACAAAAATATTTAATTTAACCTTCTTTAAGTTTTTCCCTTTACATTTTATCATTGAAGAATTATTCATTGATAATTTTCTATGGGTAATAGAGGGTAATTTTCTGAGTAATAGAAAATTATACTGTTAATATAAAAGGTCTCTTTAGCCATTAAATAAAAAAAATGATCCCTTTATCAGGATGATTTCTGAGATCTCCTCTGATATTCTGATCAAAGACATATATTTAATACATACAAGAGCTATCTGGAAGTATCCCACCATGTATGTCTCTATTTTTCATATGATATGGTGGGATACTTTCTGGACAGCCCTCATATACCAAAAATGAAATGTGTATCAATATACATATGTGTGTGCATATATATATATATATATATATATGTACACACATACATACATATCTTTAAGTCCTTGCTTGTGAATAATGCTTTTGCAATAATATATGCAAACACAGGTTTCCCCCTAATGCTTTACGTCCTCATGTATGTGATTTGTAGATTTGTAGGGTCCTTGGCTCAGGGTCTCTGTGACTTTGAATGCAGATGTGCAACTATCCCAGCGTGACATTTATATCAGTCTGATGCATAGATGGCTTAGCTTTCTTTTATCATCTCCTTCATTTCCCAAATTAAAAGATTAAATCAAGTTAGCTAAAATATGCATATGTGTGTCCATACGCATATATACACCTTAGCCACAGTTTTGTAACCATTATTTAACAAAGATTTAACCTCTTTAGAGACACTGCCCCCTCTTCCTTCACATTATCAAAAGAAGAATCCAGACACTACATGTAAAATTACAGAGTAGCCTCAGCAGACAATTTACAACCTAATTAAGGAGAACGCCAAATTTATTAGCCTACATAGACTATTCCAAATTAGATATCATAAATCTGTTCTGTGGAATAGAATCAAACAGATTACCTATTCTAAATGAAAGAGTCTAAGAATAAAGTACAATATTTTATCTATTTCTAGAATATTCTAATTACTTTTGGGGTTAAATAACACACTCTAGAATATATCTTTATTTTAATATCTCTTTCTTAGCACTATGATTGGAGATTAAGTGGTAAACTCTAGATATCTTTTATAGCAATTTTTAAAAAATGACTACTCATTTTCCATCTCATCACCAGCCTTGTTCTTAAATACAAAATTTTTCTATAGTTAAGGGTGAAAGGAGAGAAGAAATGCTGATTCATGAAAGCCAGTATTTACTGAAAGTGCTTTTCACTAAAATTATCTGCTTATAGCAAACAATCCGAAATATCTTGAAATATTTAATTTCTATCTTTTTCCCAGTAAATTTTGGAAAATACATTACATACTTTTATCTACATTTTCTAACTTCTATTTCCAAGGCTGGGGTGGCCTAGCCACCCATTCTATCTTTGTGTAAGTTCCTAAACTTGCACAAGTATTGTATGTAATATAATATCTGGTGTGGATATTTATATATTATCACTATAATACCCACATTCTGATTTATAACTTTGCTTGATAATTTTCAGATTATATTCAAATAAAGCTTATTCCAATACCCATGCTTCATTCATTCATTCATTCATTCACCTTCCACATTCTTTCAAGGAACTCATATCCAGGCATAGGGACACAAAAGTGGGAGGAACACTTCTTCCCTTCTCCTTTTAGTTTGTGAGAAAACAAAATATTTATAAATCCCATTTATTATGTATCTTTTTTTATTGTCATTCTTGAAAGCAAAACATGGTCAAGGCATAAAAATTAAGATCTTGCTTTTATGGGCCAAGAGTTAAATTGTACCAGCCTTATGTCTTTTATCCTTTGATGCAAAGAAGCTTTACCCATTGTATATATGACACCATAATATCAATCCCTGTCCCAAAAGCTGGTTAGTCTTCACTTTTATTTTCATCATAATCTTTGACTTCGCTGACTAAATTATTTAGCCTGAAACACTTAACTCTTAATTTGTACTATTTTTCTGTCAAAGAATTTCTGTCTCTATGAAAGGAAAATATTAGCTGAATATAGCTTTATATAAAATCTTAAAATTGTTGTACAATTAACCAGTTTTCCTAAAGCAGAAATTTACATGAAAAAAGAAAACAGACAGGATTGTCTCTTGCTATCTATATGTCACAAGAATAACATAGAGTCTAGTGTTTAGTATGGCTAGTCCTATATCTTTACCAGATATTTTGCCAAAAGTTAGTGAACATATGATTGTCCCTTCCTGCCTGAACATGTTTTTCCATGTGTATAAATTTTTTCATAATTATAAATTAAAATTTTAACTTTAAAAATTATGTTAATTCTACCTCCACTTTTTAATCAACAGGTAAAAGTAAATAATGAAGAAAAATGCTTAACCAAACAGACTAAAGTTGGCTTTGCTATCCCTTCAGAGGGTCTCAACTCCAGCTCCTTGGAACCCTCTCCAGTTTCGTTGCCATGTCCAGAGTTGCTCAGGTCACACCCTCCCCTTGTGTCTCCAACTACAAGAAGCTCAGAAAGAGAGAAAATGCCTTTAAAAACAATGTCTGAGAAAACCAATACCTGAAATTAAAAGTTAAAGGCATGTCCTATGGGTGATCCACAAAGGGAGAATTCCTCCTCCTAGCTGGTGATGTCAGGGAGGTCACCCAGGGGAGGGACGAGATGATCTGATCTGAAGAGTTGTGCCCAATAGAGGCTCGGAGAGAGCAGCCACAAGGTCTCCTCAAAATGAAACCTTTGGCTTCTTTGCACAGAGAACAGAGATTTCCTTTAGCTCCCTACTCCACACCCCAGTGTGCTAAGCCACTCTCTGCTTCTCTCTCCCTGTCGCACTCAGTGTCTCCAATCCTTTCAGAAGCCAGGCACTTCCTCCCTGGTGAACCTCAGCTGTCCTTGCTTTGCTCTCTCAGCCTTCCTTCTTGTCTACTAATCCCTCCTCACCACCCTTACAAGCAGGCAAGCAGAGCTGTGAACACCACGCTGCTGGGTGCCCACAGGTTCCTGCCACCCTCGGGGCCCTGTGTGCTGAGCTCCTACTCCCCATGCCCAAGTCTCTCTCTCCACCCTCTTGGCTTGTCACATTCCAAATGCTGTCTTATAAGCCCCTAGTGTCTCTTCTTTCTGTCCCCACAGCCCTCCATCTCCTCCTCCCCAGCTCCTGGGCAGTCTCTGTCCTTCTTGCTGCCCGGCCACACACTTCCTACCTTCACAGGCTGCTTCCTGTGCACTGGCTCTGAGCACATGCTTCTCTTTGGCTTCCTTACTCAAATTCCTCTCTTAAATGTAGTTCTTTTCCCATTCTCCACTCCCTGGTCTTCCCTTTTCCATTCCCATGGTCTTGAACCCTGACTTTACCTTGGAAAACTGTCCATTAACCTTTCTGTTTCTGATTTCTTTCTGTGGATCCCAACTTGAGTTCACTCTTGTCCCCAAAACCACACAGAGGTCCCACAAGCACTATGGAGGATTAAGATGACTGGACTCTGGTCCACATTTCACTCACTGAGATGCAGGGCCTATGTCCCTTCCCTTTTAGCTTGAGTTGGCCTGTGAGCATTTTGACCAAAAAAGTATGAAGAAGCGATGCTTTGTCAACTCCAGATACAGCTTTTAAAGGGACTGGAAGACTCTGCTCTTAAAAGCCAACCACTCTATAAGCTATATATAGACCTTTATACCACTTTATGAATAAAGCCCTACCCAAGGCCCTAGACATGTGAGCAAGGACCTCCAGTACCCTACCTTCATTGCACCAAGCTCCAGCTGCCATCTCATCACAGCTTGAAGGAGCCTGAGCCAATGTGCCCAGCTGCATGCAGAGAACAGCTGGGTAAGAGATAATAATCTACTGTAGTTTTAAGACACTGGGTTGCCCGGAGGTTTGGTCCACAACAAAAGATACCCCCATTGGGCACCTAATGTTCAACAATTCAAAACCAAATTTATTATCTTAGCTTTCTGACCAAAAAGAAATGTTTTGCTCCTGTATTCCCAAATTCTTTTAATAACTGCATCA